GAAGGAAGGAAGGAAGGAAGGAAGGAAGGAAGGAAGGAAGGAAGGAAGGAAGAAAAATATAGGACATAGTTCAGTGGAGGGTCTGGGTTCAATTCCAAGTACTGTAAACAAATACAACTATGTAGGATCTATTTACATACTTTTCACAAATCTTCTGACTTCTCATCTAATCAAAAAAATTAGCATGGCAATTTCCTTATTTTAGTGTTTTCTGGCCATGGCCTATTACAGATAAAATATTCAAGTCTCCTTTGAAAAGGATTGCTTTGTTTCCCTAAAATTTAATTTACAGGCAATTTGAGACATTAAGCTATTCAGTGCCTCTTCAGTGTACATCTGCAAACCGAAGTGTCACTTCAGCCCTAATTTCCCATTGGTCAATAAACATATCCTATCATTGTTCATGTTTTGTGATGAGGAAAAGACTCACTATTTGGGTTTTCTTGTTAATGCTGCACATGGAGGAGGTGAAACTTCATAATGAAAAAGTGCTCTTGAAAATAACGTTTTTTTCTTTAAATCAAGCTATTGTTTATTTTATTTATTTTATTTTTTTTCCAGCAGAACAGGGATTGAACTCAGGACCTTGCACTTGCCAGGCAAGCACCTATTCTACTGAGCCATCTCCCTGGCGCAATAATGTCTTTTTGATAGTTTATTGGTTCACAAACATCTCATCGACCTATCTTCCTTACTGATGAAGCAAACTAAAGATGCTTTTCATTTGAGTGAAAGCACTCCTCTTATTAGTATTAAAACATTACAAGCCCTTTTGAATACAGAACACATGCTGACATTAGAATTATGCAATGTTACACATTGTTTGATGATAACAAAGATTGGTTGTATTCAGAGTAGTCTCTGCCTTGGAGACATGTTCTGCAGCTTTGACTGTGCCAGCTGTATTCTGTTAGGTCATAGTTTTGCAACTTGCTCTGGTAAGTGTGAAAATTATTTCCTCTGGACCTATTACAGGACCTATTACAGGCTTTTACTATAAGATCCAGGACAAGGTAAAACCATTTTTTCTTTGTACTACTCAATATAAACTACTAAAATATGGCTTCCCATGTACATCATTCAATCCAGAACAAAACTGAATACCTAGGATGTACCATAATATCATATGCAAAGGAAGCTACAAAGATGAATAAGAAAGGATCCATCTCTATGTTCATCTATCTCAGAAAATATTTTAATCCCAACCTGTATTTCTGTTTTATAACCCTTTGGTTCTTTCTGATGATGGTATTGATTGTGTTTTGTCTTCATAGACCAATAGGGCCACAAATATTTTATAAACCGATCAATTCTTTTTGATAGCTCCCACATTTCTCTAAGTCAGATGTGGTGAGTAGAACATTTTTTTTTGATGGATAGTACCTGTTATGGGTTTAAACAAGCCTGGACTTTTGCAAACCCATGAATCAACCTCTATGGTCCTGCACTATTGCTTTCTCTTCTCTTTTAAACCATTGGTCAACTACAGGAAGGGTTTATTGAAGCTCACTGTGCACAAGGGATGGTGGTAAACAGAAAGGATGTGAAGATAAGTAACTCTTGCTCCTCAATCTCCCAGTCCAGCCCAGATGGAAGATGCACACAGACACTGCTTTAGGCAAGCCCAGCAACCACACTGTGATGAGTGATGAGTGCAGAGCACAAGCACATTGAGGCATCACAGCCCATTAGGGGCTTGAGCAGGTTGACAGAGGTGATAGCACTTGAATCTGGTCCTGAGGAATGATCTGGATTTCAATAGGCAGAGAGATAGAGGCAAGGCTTTCCAGGCCCGGAGAAAAACAGTGAACACAGATGTGCGGCCCTGTTCCCAGTGTGCTTGACCATGGAGAAGGAGGCACGAAGGAGTAAGGTTGGGCCAGGCTGTGAAAGGATCTGTGCAGCCAATGAACAATCTCCCCTATTCATCAGAACCCTACCTAGACTATAATGGAGCCCAACAGAGAAAAAGGAAGCCCCTGAGGAGAGGAAGAAAACACTAAAAAGTGCTTCAGGCTCTGCTCCTTGGGAGATGCTAAGGACAGGGTAATGTGTTATATTCTAGAAGAGTTTTCACCAGCATCTATGCTGGTTTAGGTCAAGGCTTTCATACACAATGCCCCATTGAGATAACAAAAATCCTGATTGAAATTTAAAAATAGAATATTCACTGTATAATTCTTTTAATTTATGTTTATTTGAAATTTATAAGTTTAAAAGCTAGAGAAAAAGCATAGCATAACTATAGGTTGTTGATTTCAAAGTTCAATGGAATCCCCAAATTTAACATAAAGGAAAAATAAAGTGAAGGTAATTTAAAGTAAAATATGGATTTCAGATGTAAATATTTGCCCTGATGTATCAGAAAACATAGCAAAGTCAAACACATGCACTGGTAGTTCAACGACTATCAGGGACACAACCTAAAATGAAGACAGATACAAATATTGCTTGGCAAATACATTTCAAGTGATTTTCTCAAACAGCAAACATAAATACTGATTTCTTTCCATGTTCATAGTGATAACATTTTTAGGAAATTCATTATACGTTGAAACTGTGTCAAAATCATTTTTTTACATGGAAAACATTAGATTCCAAGTACTGATACATATAGACAGCTTTTTCCTTGGACCAGAGACAGTAGGTTCCTTGGGTCTACTTCAGGCTCCTTAGAACCTAGCATCTCTGGGCACTTCCAGGTGAGGGCAGGAGTATTCCAATCCTTATAACAAAATTTCTCCCAAGATTTAGAAAGCCCATGTTTGTGTAGGACTCCTATCAGCCTTGAAGTCCTTCAAGTTATCACAGAAATAAATGCAATAACTTAGAAAGAAGAAATGTGCTACTAAATCAAGATTACCTGACTCATGTAAAAGAATTTGAGCTTTGAAATCATCATTTGCCTTTGTTAGCACATTTTTTTATTATCACTAGCTTCTAAGGCCTTGTTTGTTTGCAAGATCAGGAGGTTCACTTGGCTTTCTTCTGCTTCTTTTAATTCCTTCCATTTAACATCTTAGTATATTTGCTTGTTTAATGTAATTTGTAGCTTGACATGGTGGTAAATATGTGCAAATTATTTCTCATTGATCACAGCCACATGGGGTTTTGGTTCTCTATGCTGTCTCTTTTGGGGTCACAGTACTGGTTGTGTTGTGTTGCTTCCCACACAGCTCACATCAGAGGACAGGAGTGTTAGAAGTTAAGAGAACATACCATGCAGGGAAGTAGTCATCTCTCTCCTTTGTCTTCTATTTTTCAAACTATGATTTACATGCAGAATAGTGACAGCAGAACCTTAGGAGGTAGCAGAGCAGACACAAATAGTGGTTCTCAGAGGGTGTTCTTCAGGCCACTAGCTAGTCAGTATCTAAGAACTTACTGGAAAGGAACATTTTAGGCCAACTCATTTAGAAAGTCTGATATTGGGACCCAACACTTTATGTTTTATTCTGATGCAAACAGAAGTTTGTGAACCATTGGTACAAAAGGAACATGGAACCAAAGGCTCATGCAGTCTTTTAAAAATCAACTAACTCTAAACATGTGACTTTTATTTTAGATTGGTAGTCTCAGCTACAGAAAGCTTAAGGAGCTTTATTGCTCTTTCTTCTCTCTGTCTGTCAGCACAGTATCTCTTTATGTAGTACTAGTGCAGGTTGGCCTTGAACTCAATATATTACCTAAGCTAGCCTTGAACTTGTAATGAACCCCTACCTCATCTTTCTAAATGCTAGGATTATAGGTATGTGCCACCATCTCAGGTTTGGGGAGTTTTATGACTACCATGGCCTGGTCCTGAGCTTGGCCAATCCAATGGTACTCTCTGAAGAGGCCCAGGAATCTTCATTTTTTAAATATTTCCAGGGTATTCTGGTATCTGAAGTCAGAGCCCTGTATCCAGCCTTGGTGCTCCTCCTCCTGAGCAGGTGCCTCAAACCTGCTGCTATCTGAGAATGAATTTGTGCCTAGAAAATAGAGGTCAAAATGGTGATGTGTGTTCACATAGCCAGTCACACCTCAGGGTCAATAATGGGGCACTTTGGAAAAAACGTTAACTTTTTCTCCATGTGCCAGTGGATACCCGCCAGCTTCTGTAGAGAACCTGGTGCTGAATTCAAATAGGGTAAAAATTTCCATGAATCTCCCCAGCATGACTTACACATACCTTCATTCTTCATTTAGGAGTACACAGTCCTGATCCAGAAATCCTAGATTTCCAAGTATTCCTCACCTCTCACTCCTTAGCACTGACTCTGGAGTTCTTTTTTTTTTTGTTCCTCGAATGCCTTCAGGGCACTTTTGGCCAGCGGGAGAGTTGTGAGGTTCGAACTCCAGCAACCTGAGGCTGACAGCTTTGTGGAAGCAGCCACTTAAAGGCCTGAGCTAGGGCCAGGCCCCCTGGAGTTAGTTATTTGTTGTTCTGGCACTTGTCTCAACAGAAGAGAAGATTGTCAAGATTCAGATTTGTGGTGATGTCTACATTATTATTGTGTAAAGTTTATGACTTCTAAGGCTATTTTTGGCCACTTTTTGTGACCAAAGTAAAACCATCAGCATGGCAGTAAATACTGCTGGGACAAATGTACACTCACCCCCCCCCCCCACTGTCCCTCTGTAGGTAGAAGCAGTGCCCAGCTGTCAGCCAAAATGGAGCCTTGTAACCTATACTTCCCTTGAGCCTGATCACCAGGCAGACAAGGAGGAGACACTGTTTGTATCTCACAGGGGCAAAAAGCAAAACATCCAAGTTCTTGGGTAAGGTCTAGGAGAAAACTTCAATCCTTGATTGAAAGCTTTTCTGTTTCTTACCTTAGTACCTTAGGAAAACCCCAAATTAGTGGATTGAATTAAATTGACTGACATCTTTTGAGAACATTTGTAGGAGCACCAAAAATAATTTTTAGGTCATTTTAAAATTAATTTTATTGAGAAACAAATAGCAATGAGACCATTTCAAAACAGGTTAGTAAGACAGTTTCAATAATTAACACATTGCATATTGTTGTCTTCGTAGTAGTTATTCGTAGTACAAAATGCAGAGGCCAGGGAAATAGCTCAGTAGAATAAGTGCTTGCCTGGCAAGGCTCTGAGTTCAAATCCCTGGTTCCACCAAAAAAAGGAAAAAAAAGATGCAGACATCATATCCTATCCAAACACTATTAGTGCAAATCTTTCTTCTCATTGAATTAAAAGAAAGTAGCTGTATATCTATCCTATTTTGTATATACAGATACAAAATGGTCTTTCATTTATATTCTTTTTTTTTTTGGTTTAGTTTGTAAGAGATGGGTATTCTATTGCCATTTAAATATTGCAGGTGTGTGAATTCAGCAAAATAATCCAATATATTCCAGTAGTCCATAATAGTCGTGGGTTATCCATAGCACTCTCAATGTCCAAAGTTGTTGACTTGAGCCTTTTACAGCTCAGCATATTAATATGGCTTTGCTTTTTATACCTCATTTTTATACTTTTCTGCTGGATGGTTAAGGCCAAGATAAAGCAAGACCTGTATAACAAGAAATGTAACTTTTGTATCTGACAAGGTCAGTTAAATCCCCTCAGGATTTACCCTGAAACCCTGTACCACAGTTTGTAGATCCTTTGTCAGTACCAGCCATGTGAATGTGTCAAGGTCATTGCTTGAACAATTTACTCTCTGTGAAAGCCTAAGAGAATGCTTTCTCTCATGTGACTGTCCTTAGGCACACTCTACATCGTCGATCACTTTCCTCGGTGGCCCTATAATCTTGATCAGAAAATTTGGAACACAACTGAGTTACAGGATGTAACGATACAGGTTCTCTTATGTCCTGAGTCCTCACTGACCTTGAATGGTTAGGGCAAAAATGTTGGCTGTCCTTCAAGGCCTTCTAAAAAGAATAATTTTGAAAACCTCAGATACTAGACTCAAGAGGCTTACAAATGAGTAAGCAATGCAGATTGAATGTAAAATGAAATGAAGGTAAGAGTACTTACCTGAAGTCAGAGGCAAGAGAGCTCACTTCAGAAGGCTGCATGGAAAAAACAATAATTCCTCTGAACTTGCAAGCAGTGAGAGAGTAACTAATGTACCTATCTTCACTCAAATGTCACTTCTCCTGACTATGCTGTCTAGGTGTAAAACCATTCAATTCCACCTCTCCCTGTAGCTTCAGTGCTTCAGAATGGCCATGGAAGAAGGCATTTCCAGCACACTGAAGGGCTAGACTTTGTACATGTGTGACCTCCTTAAGCCAGCTGAGTTTTCTTTCTTTCTTTCTTTCTTTCTTTCTTTCTTTCTTTCTTTCTTTCTTTCTTTCTTTCTTTCTTTCTTCTTTCTTTTTTTTATTTTGCAGAAGGGTCTACAGGGTGTTCAGGCTTTCACTATTAGATTGGATTTACAGTGATTCACCTGTTTACAGCCTCCGAAGAGCTGGGATTACAGGTGTGTGCTACCCACACCCAGTCTCAATTGCCATCTCAGTGCACCTCAGGGGCACAGCCAGCACTGCAGGCCTGGGGATTGAACCCCCAGCTCCTGCGCCTACTTGCAGGTGCTTTAATCTGCTAAAATATTTGGCTGGCCCTAAGCTAGCTGTTTTTATGTTATTAATGTGAATAAAGTGATTTGTGGTTTTCATCAAAAAAGAAAGTAAATAAAGTACCATCCTGTCATTCCTTTCCTCCTTCTCTGCTTTGCTTTTATTCACAACTTATTTCTACCTAATCTATTTTTTATTATTGGTAAGTAATGCTAACTGGTAAATTCCAAGAGAGATGAGATTTTACATTTTATTGATCCCTGTACCCAGCACCTGTAATAGTAACTGACACAAATAGACATGTCTTAAATTGAATAAATAAATGGATGGATACACTTTTATTTCATAGGGCATCACAGGAATCCGTTTTGATGGAGGAGAGAAGTGCTACATCAAAGCACAGGTGAAGGCACGGGTTCCTGAGGTTGGCGCTGTGACCAAGCAAAGCATCTCCTCTCAGCTGGTGAGTACTGTTGTGGTCACTCAGTAAGAGAGTTAGAAGGAACAACTCCTTCAGTTTCAAGACCAGCACCTAAGGTTTTCTCTACCAAAGGAACTTAAAATATTTCTGTCCTACTGGTTCCAGGAGAATATTCTTTCAAAAGGCTTGAGAAGGCCATATTTTAAAATTCTAAAATGGACTCAGTACTTACATCCCCTTATTTGCCTGTTATTCAGAGATTCAGACTGTACATTAAAGATAGGGCTCCACAAGATGAAACAGACCTCAGAAGCCCTCTAGCCTCAGCCTCATGCAGTATAGAAATTCCTTTCAAGTATTCTGGTTAGCTGATGACCCAGCTTCTGCTGGAAAGCTGTGATGGGACACTGCCCATGTCAGTCACCCAGCTTCACCATCAGCGAAGTTCTAATTGATTTGGCCACCTTTAGCTGAGATGGCTTCTCCTAGTTTCTTCTCTTTAGTTCAAGGTAAGCTCAGTGAATCCACACAGTATATATTTAATTCCTTTCCTATGTATCAGTTTGTGAACTTTTTAAAGAAAATATAATTGAATTTATTATTAGTTTTCCATTAAGAGTTTTAAAAGCACATTTAACAATAATATCTTCCATTTTTACCATACTTCAAGGTGTACAGTGTGATCACATTGACTACTATATTTGAGTTTTAGCTGGTATGGTGAGAAACAAACAGGATTTGGAATCAGAAGACAATGTGAAGTCAAATACCAAATCTGACACTTGCTATGGATGACTTTAACTCCTTCAACCTCAGTTTTGTCATCTGCAAATTGGCGATGTACACACTGTGTCCATGGCCCTAAAGCCCACTATGGAGTGAGTGGGTGGCTGTTGCTCAGTATCATTAATTTTACTATGATTATCGCTGAACCTTCTGGTATCCTTAAAAGTGAAGTGAAGCAAGTGTCAGTTCCCTCAAAGCAAGAGGGAAAGGCAGGATAACTTATGGAAAGTTATGTTTGTATTTCAATTGTTAGCTTTTTATTACTAGGCCACAATGGTAGATTTATCCTTTGTATTAGGTTATATATTGTGGATGGTGACTCTTCTGAGAGACAGAAACTAATTAAAACAATACATGCTTTGTTGTCAATAGAAGACAACTTAGAATAATGTAAACACATAGAAATTTGTTTCTTTCCATTGTAGGCAATGTAGAAGTAAGCAGCTGCAGGTACTGGTTCAATGGCCAGCATTTCTGTGGTTTTTATTTGTCTTTTCTTCCAACTTCAACCATGGTGATACTGCATAATCTCTTCTTTAATTAAAAATAAGCTCAATACAAAGCATCACTTACTTTTAATTAGAAAATGGCCTCACAACCCCCATACACTTTGGCCTGGATCTCATTGGCCATCACTAACCACTCAAGCACTCCTGGCCCTGGACATTATAAGAAAACAAGCGTCTCCTGGCACTTGAAACAGTCACAAAAGCAAGACTGTGGCTCAAGGAAGAGGAAAAGGGAAAGCGCTTGAGTCGGCAACTGAAATGATGTGCATCAAGATTAGTGCAACACTTAACTGCCTCTGTTACAGGATGATAATATCATTAAGCTTCTCTTCTGGGTGTGTAACAACTAAAGTTTGCAGCCCAAAGATAGGCTAAAAAGATAGCTAATATATTGGCTCTAGCCCTTCAAGGGCATTGAGAACTCAGGACATAAAAGAATCTCTGCTGTGACATCCTGTAACTCAGTGGCGTACCAAATTTTCTGATCAAGAAGATTATGGGACTACAGAGGAAAGTGATTGATGATATATTATGTGCCTATGGAGAGTTACCTAGAGAGAAAACATTCTTTCAGGCTTTCAGAGACAGCAAATTGTTCAAGCAATGGTTGTGACTCATCCAGATGGCTGACACTGAGAGAAGAACCATAAGGTGCTGTACATGGCTTCAGGGTAAAACCTGAAGGGATTTGACTGACTTTGTCAGATAGTAAAAGCTAGATTTTTAGTTATATAGGTCTTGATTTACCTTGGTCTTAACCATCTACTGGAAAATTATAACACCAAGGTATGAAAATTAAAGCTGTATTAGTATACTGAGCTGTAAAAGGCTCAATTCAACAACTTCTGACAATTGCTGGTTGTGCTGGTAACACATTGCTATTATGGACTATTGGACAATACTGGATTATTTTTCTGAATTCAAATACCTACAATCTTTGGACTGGCAGCAAGTATGAAAAGGTCTTTTAAAAAAAAAGTTATCTAAATGCAGCTTCTCTAACTGCAATGGAACACCCATTTCTGACAAAACAAAACAGAAAAGGGGGTATATAAATAATGGAACTTTTTATGGCAAATATACATATATATATATATATATGTGTGTGTGTGTGTGTGTGTACATACAAGATAGCTATGATAAATATGCAACTATTTTCTCTTAATTCATTAAGAATAAAAGTTTTTTAAAAAGGGGATACAAAGGAATGACCATTTTGTATCTGTATATTCAAAATAGGATAGTTATACAGCTACTTTCTCTTAATTTAATGAATAGAAAGATTTGTTCTAATAGTGTTTAGACAAAATATCATGCCTGTATCTTGTACAAGAATAACCACTAAGACCACAATATTCAATGTATTAATTATGGAAACTGTCCTACTAATCAGATTTGAAATTGTCTTATTGCTATGTTTCTCAATAAAATTATTTTTTAAAAAGCCATAAAAACAAATAAAGCTTTATACTAATATTGTTTAGAAAAGATGTCATGTCTTCATTTTGTCCTCTGAATAACTACTATGAAGACAACATTATGAAATGTATTAATTACTGTAACTGTCATACTAACCTGTTTTGAAACTATTTTATGGCTATTTTCTTTTTTTCTCATTAAAATGAATTTAAAAATGTTAATGAAACATTCTTAGCTTAAAGGATACATCTATATGCATTATCTTAATCATTCTACTCTTCCCCACACAATTTACACTATGAGGAGAGATTTATATGGTACTTGCTCTTATGAATATTTCCTCAGTTTTATATAACTTTAAAAAGCTACTGTACTCAAGAGCATTCACTTCCTGGATGAAGCCATTTAATTTAAGGTAAGTAACTGGATTACCTGAGTGTTAGCTTCCTCCAATAACTTTGAGTTGTTTTAATGCAGCCGTAAGCCTTAGGGAGAAACATACATGAAGTACTGCTTTTAGCTAAAAGTAAGGAGAAAATATTTTAATTTATCTGACATACATATTACAAACTAATGAATATATGAAAGGAACAACTGGAAAAAATAAATTTGTCTCCTGGGTTATCAAGCCATTCTTAGCATCTTGCTGTAGAAGAAAATCCAAGATTTAGCTTTGAAATCTCAGTGGTGTTCTTGATGTGAAGAACATCTAAAATATGTTTTGTTACATCTGGGAAATGTAGAAATGGTTCATGTTAAATAATACTTTGAATTGCAAACATTAAAGAACCAATCACTTGATTTTTCCATTATTGTTTGAAAGCGTCAGAATAAAACTCCAAAAGATTTTCACTTCAAATGAAGGGTTTCTCTGTCCTTTAATAGGATTTCAGGGTCTGTTCAATTTCTTTTCCTTCAAAAACATCTTTGATCAAAAACATAAGATTAACCTAAATCTCAAAGTTGGTATCAAATAATTTCACTTCAACTCAGAACACTTATATTTATCCATAACAACTATATTCAGGGAGCAAAGCAATGGGAGGAGGCATGCTGAATACTATGAAGAGACCTACAAAGAGATTGGAACCTTGAATTGGAACCCCCCCCCACACACACACATTTCACTCTTTCATACGGTAAAATAATCTTGTAACAACATTTGATGTTCTGCTGTCCTTTTTGCTCAACTCATCTCTTTTTTTCCTTATAGGAAGGCAAGATTGTACCAGTTAAATATGAAGAAAATTCACTTATCTGGGTCGCTGTTGACCAGCCTGTGAAGGACAACAGTTTCTTGAGTTCTAAAGTCTTAGAACTTTGTGGCAACCTCCCTATTTTCTGGCTTAAACCTGCATATCTAAAAGGTAACATTTTTTGATTTCACAATGCTGCCTAGAATTTTCCATTTCCTGTGATGTTCATCTGAACCTCTTCTCAGGTTAGGGCATGTAACAAAGATCGAGGGCTGACGAGATAGCTCGGTGGACTAAGTGATTGCTTAGGTAAATGCAGGGGCCAGGGTTCGATGCCTGGCACTGCAGGTTGCATTGGCCCCACCTCTGGGTGCACTGAGCCAGCAATGGATTCTGGGCATGGTGGTGTATGCCTGTAATCCTAGTACTAGGGAGGCAGAAAACAAGAGGATCACTACAAGTCCAACCTGTGTAGTGAGACCATGCAAAAAGAAAAACAAAAAAAAAAAAAAAAAAAAAAAAGAACAAATATCAAAGAAGGGGGCATGTGGTAGAGTCCTCATAATTAGCAAGATAGATAAAAGATAAAGTAATATCTCTGACTGCATCAGGGAATAGAAAGAGTGACTGGGTTAACAGGAGACAGAGAAGAAAGAAAAATCATGACTGTATTACCTATGACTTTTATTTCTGGTGCTTCTAATTTTTCCTCCTCTGTATCTTAATCTCATTTGTTTGCACTTTCCAATTTTACATTTTTTTTTTATTCTAAGGAATATAATCAAGGGACTGAGAGACTGTCATGCCATTAAACTTTTATTATGTTCAAACCTAGAATTATGGGACAGCCAAAAGCTGCTGTGGGTATAAACTGAGATTCCTCAAGTTAAAGATTTGAGAATCAGTTTCCAAGTTCAGAGAAAATAAATTCAGATGACTGGGGTTTGGAATTACATTGAAAGATACCTTTGGGGTGTCGGGGAGATGGCTCAGTGGAATAAGTGCTTCCCTGGCAAGAGCAAGGGCCTGAGTTCAATCCCAGGTTCCACAAAAAAGGAAAAAAAAAAAAAAAAAAAAAAAAAAAAAGATATCTTTGAGATATTTCCAGGTGACAAAGGGTAGATGAGCCCAGAGAACCTCGCTTTTTCCCCTTAATTTCTCCTGTTCCTAGAGGGCCTCTCTCTTCATCTCTGCTGCAGTCACCATGCTTGTCTCCCCCTACTTTGAAGTTCTGGTGTGGGGGCAGGTTTCTTTTTCCTTAGCATGACTAAGACAGGCTAAGTTTTCAGCAATATTTTAATGAATGCCAGGAGACCGCAGTATGGAAATGAAAATATAAACATTAAAACCTCATGTTTTGTGGGAACCTGGTAGAGAAACAAAATGGGTAGTTAATGTTTAATGATAGTTTCAGTTTTTTTTGCAACATGAGAAAAGATTTAGAGATGGTTGATAGTGATGGTTGTACATCAGTATGAATGTATTTGATGTCAATACACTTAAAAATGGCTTAGCAGCCAGGTGTGGTGAGGTATGCCTATAATCCAAACACCAGGGGTCCTAAGGCAGGAGGACTGTGTGACTTTGAGGCCAACGTGAGCCACACAGTGAGTCCAAGCCCAGCCTGAATTGCATAGCAAGATGTTGTCTCAAAAAAATCAAGAATAAAAAACTGGTTTAGCCACAAAATTTTATTATAGATTAAAAGAATGGATCAGGATTAAAAAATATTGTTTTCTGATTGTACCATAACTAAATTCTTCTTAGAATTCTCATGTACTATACTGTTCCAAAGCATGGAGGAAGTGGCTGCTCTCTAACCCAGACTCGGTCAGTTGGGTCAAATGTACAAGCCATTGGTAGTGGCTGCCCAGTACAGTGACTCATGAAGGATCATGAGGTCATGTGCCTGCTCATTAAAAAACAATGCTATGTCTGTATCTATCACAATGTAGGTGACTGCCAAATGAACTGTGATTTTGTCATGTCAATGAATGCCTCTGTAGATGGCCATTACAATTCTATGGTCACCTGACAAGTTCTGCTTTCCATTTCCTACTCCTTCACCTCAGTGCTCATCTTGCTTTTCATTATCCCAAAATTACAACTCTTGCTAGTTAAGGACAAGAGTCTCCTACAAGGCTACCACAAAGATCTCTCCCTAATGGGGCTTCTTCTGAGGACAAGTTTCTTAACCAGAGTTCAATCACACATTTAGAAAGCATTTATGAAGGGCAGTCATGAGCCATACTGTGATGGTTAAGGTGCATTGTTTGGCAAAACTGACAGGAATGCCTGTCCTCAAGGAGGACAAGCAGACATAACATGCATGCTAAGTTAAGGAAATTGTGTAGTATGATACAAATTCTGTACAGAAATAATTCAGGGCAAGTGGGAAAAAGGGGGAATAGAAGCGCAGTACTATTTACAGTGCTAAAAATAGTTTTTAGCTACATCTAAGATGTCTCTTTATCCCTCACCACTGAACAACATAGCATAAGCACATCTTAAATATTCCAACCATCACAGAATACATATTAAAAACTATACATATTGAGCTGAGGTTGTCTAGCTGTTGCCTAGTATAAAAGGTGTTGAATCCTTAGTACTTCATAAAATGTATACATATAACATATATCAGAAAAGTAGAGGGCTGGACAAAGAGCTTAGAGGATAAAGGACCTGCATAGGCATAGGAGTCATGGGTTCAATCCCTGGGCCTGTCGTGATGGCCCTGCCCCAAAGGCCCGGTGAGATGGTGATTGAGACTGGTTATGGTGGTGCATGCCTGTAATGCCAGCACTTGGGATGCTGTAAACAGGAACATTACTAGCAGTCTGATCTAGTAGTAAAACTCTGAACACCCTGTAGACCCTTTCCTAAAATACAGGAAAAAAAAAAGTAGAATCCAAATTAGAAAAGTACTAAATGTTGATATATTTATAGGATTGAAAATCATATTAAAAACAAAGGTATCCTGCCGAGTTCCAGGAGCCCCCAGACCCAGTCCTAGCGCAGGTCCGGTGAGTGTGCGGAGAGTTTCCTGCT